GCAATTTTGTTTACTCAAATGAAGTGAGTGCAAAAAACATCGAAAAGCACAAGAAATACACCAAAACCAAGATTATCGATCGGAGCGCCCCATCTGCGCCCAGCGCACGCGTCATGCGCCAGAGCGCGTATTGACGCTCTTCACACTGTCGGTGCGGTCGGCGCCGTCGGCACCGACCGCACCGATGCGAACTATGAAAGCAGCCTAAGCTCTCCGAAAGGACAATCTCACGAGCGAAATGGGCCGCCACAAAAATTGTATAAGAAACTCAAAAACACCTGAAATACTGGCCTATTCGATCTACACGAAGTGTAGATGGTGCAGCAGCGAGGTGAGACTTGATGGGCGCTGAGGAGAGAAAACGACTTCGAGATAAGAGAGCAGAGAAAATCAGCGAGACGATACCGATGACAGAGCGCCACGATGGGCGTGCACGGATCCAACTCCTCAGCCCCTAGCGTATCATTAATGTGTTCAGAGGCACGATGGGGGCATATCGCACCAGCGAACCAGTAGCATGCATAGAAGAGACTTCCTCAATGGAACTGGCCGCGAATTGTGCCTTTACCCTTCGTAGTCGTCAAAAAAGGCTGATCCTTGTGCGCTCCTCTTCTTGAGCCGCTGTTTCATTGTCGCCTACATGGAACAAGGCCCAGTCAGGTGGGGAATGCATTTGGCCACAGAGTATTTTTTTTTCAAAAACCTTAATCCCGTGATTGTACCGAATCTAGCATGTGCAACGTAACATCTTTGTAAAAAATATTCCCCAAAATGGTCGAGCATTCAGTTGAAAATATGAGCTCAGAAGCCTTAAAGGAATCTTCCGCGGAAAAAGCTCCGCCTCCATTACCACAGAAAAACGATACCCCTTAGGCCCCTAGCCTCATGAGCATAGCAAAAAGAACGGAACATAAGCGTTAGTTTCGATAATACTAATCCTACACACAAGACAAAATGATCACTCTTTCCGTGGAAGATTCCTTTAAGGTATCGTTTTCTGTGGTAATGAGGGCGGAGCTTTTTCCGTGGAAGATTCCTTTAATGACGAAGGTTTTCAGAGGGAGAGCTGGCGTGCAAATTGTATCAAGTCGATTATGAGAAGTTCATCAACTCTATGCTTAAGCCAAGAGTGAAGGTTGGCACGGAATGGGTGAACAAGGGTCAGAATCTTGAGCAAGTGAGTGTTTAGTGCATACCCTGGAAGTTTTTTTTTCGCTCGTCAAAGAACGAAACGCTTGATGGAACACTTTATAATCTCAACATGATCAACCACTTTCAGGTGAACTGGGCAGTCGGAGCACTCGCAAAAGCGCTATTTGCTAGAATGTTCGCTTGGCTCATCAAGAGGTTTGATTCTTGCAATTCTCAAATGAACAATTATTAGAAGATACGAAAATTAGGCGCTACCGCAAGAGACGGGGCATTGACACTACATCTGAAGCCGCGTAAAACATGCCTTTTGGTTAGAAAGGGACTATGCCTTTTGGCGTGGGAGGAGAGACCAGGGTATACGCCATTTTCATTGTTTTCATTGTTTTCGGAGTTTTTGTCCCCCCCCCCTCTAGGGTCGTATTAGAGGGTGCCCCCGTATATTGTGATAGCGCCGAAAATAACTCACTAAATGATTGAAGAATTCTCTTCTCATTCCAGATGTAACAAGACGTTGGACGCCCAAGATCTGCCACGTGAATACTTCATTGGAGTGCTTGATATTGCTGGTTTTGAAATTTTTGACGTGAGCACTAACCACTTTGAATCATTTCACCATACGTTTTACATATATGGCTATTCGAGGACAGCTGCAACCGAAAAGAGCGGTCGCTGAAAGAAGCTTCGCCAAGGATTCAAAAACTTTCGAGTATGCGCAGCACAAATTTGCCATGCATAGGGCTCTTGTTCCAAACGAGCTCGGCCGCCAATCTCGAGTATCCGACAGGAAGCCCGTAGCGCGGCAAGAAGGCGCAGACGCAGAGTCAGCGGACGAGACGCACCGTGTCAAGTAATGTGTAGTATGGTACATATAGTAACACATCCCACATCACACAGTATGCGCTGTGACTCGTTCACTTGACGCTTGCGTCTCTCCTTTCACGCCGCGCGATGGGCCTTGTGGGTACCAGCCACTCATCGCACGGTAAGGGAAACAAACCGCGCTCATTCACTGGTCTTTTGAAAGGAAATCGGTCCACGAAGCTTGGTAATGGAGCTTGTCACACCACGCTATACTCGTTCCGAAAACTGCCCATCCTATTCTTATAGTCATAGGAACGGCACAAACTTCCTTTAGTGCGCTCAAAACGCCAATCGATTTCCAGTATGTATCGAGAGTACGCGCTGTGAACTACATGTGAAAACATGCGCAGAACTCAGTCCGAATCTCAAACCGTGCCGGCTTTCTACACTCAGCCCTGACTTTGCGCTCTAGCCTTTCTAGGAGAATCGTTCTCCTAGAGAATCTAGAGCGATTTCTCATAGTCCCTCAAAATACAAATGTTTTGCAGTGAACAAAAACTGGTGCAACCTGAAGGGCTCTCACTAACTGCCACGCATTTTTTCCTATCGTAGGGCGTGTTACCTTGGAGCACGCCTTACGAATCGAGTCAAGAATGAAGGCATGGCGCAGCTTATGGGACTTAAAGGAGGGACACCTTCAACTTGTTTCTTGTATTTCATTGATTTTTTTCCAGCACAACTCATTCGAACAGCTATGGATCAACTTTGTCAACGAGAAACTGCAACAATTCTTCAATCATCACATGTTCGTTCTGGAACAGGAAGAGTACTCTCGTGAAGGCATCCAGTGGCAGTTCATCGATTTTGGTCTCGATCTGCAAGCATGTATCGAGCTCATCGAAAAGGTGGGTCAATTTCAGGGATATTTAATGTTTGGACTATTCAACCATCACGTGACTTACAAGGATCTTCAGTTTGGTGCTTTCTGTTACTCATGAGTGAGTACATCTTAAAACTGCCATCACAGGCTTAAACCTAGAATATAAATTTTTGTTGAATCTTTGGGTACCCGACAAGAGGCCCGTCGCGAGTAAGAAGAGTCAGCGGACGAGTCGCAGCGCGCACTTTATTGATTTCGCGTCAAGTTAAATAGATCGTACCATTGTACGTCCCGCATCGCACATCACGCGCTGTGGTTATAATAATTAAAAGTTTTCGAATTCCATCACACATTAGTTAACCTGGGAGAATTTGCATCGAATGATTAGTTAATCTGGGAGAATTTGCATCGAATGAAACAAGAAAACAAGTTATGTTAAGAGCAGTTCATCGGAGCATTTGCGTGTGTGGTAGCCCTCATAAGGTGTACGCTTTTGGTCGATTAATACACAGCAACGCTTCCATTTGCTGAGCTCATCGCGGCGCATGCGCGCGCGTCTGAGACTGCTTGCCGTATTCGAGGGAAATGCGACATTATCTATATTAATAATTGAATAATGGTAATTATGACAATCAACCCAAGTGATGGAGCAAAATTAAAGGGAGATCAAATATCAAAAGTTTTTTTTAAAGTTATTCTAACTCGCTTTAGCCACTCGGAGTAATCTCGATGCTCGATGAGGAATGTATCGTACCGAAAGCTACCGATCTGACCTT